TTGACAACCTTGGCAAGGACGGTTTGTGGGCATACTATTAATTATATATAATATATATGAGTAAGATCCACTTATACACAAGTCTACACACCACACTTACACAAAATCTTGACCATTCATCTCTCCACTTTCAACAATTGAGATTTATTCACTTTTTATCATATTTATTAAATATAATTATTTTTTTTATCTTAAACAAATCTCAACTATTGAAAGTGGAGAGATGAATGGTTAAGATTTTATAGAAGTGTGGCGTGTAAGACTTGCGTGTAAGTGGATCCTAACTCTCTCTCTCTCTCTAGAGAGAGATTGGTGTTTACCAACTAGACCTCAAAAAATTAAGAGGAAAACACCCCAAAATTACTCCGTTTTCATTCCTACCTCAAAAATAAGTTATTTTAGTCTTTTTCAATAGAAGTTTATTTAAACAATGTAATTTTGGGATGTTTTCCTTCTACTTTTTTAGAGGTCCGGTTGATAACAACTTTAGAATCCACTTACCCACAATTCTCATACATGACTTACACAAAATCTTGATCATTCATCTTTCCATTATGAATAGCTAAGACTTATCCACTTTTTATCATATTTTATAAAGTTAATTGTCTTTTCATCTAAAAAGTCGTGATGAACATCAAGTATTAGTTCTGAAAAATAAATGGCTATGATTTTGCGTAAAACTTGTGTGCATGTATGCAAGCTTAATTAAAAAGATCTGTAACTCACCTTGCAAATTAATTCTCCCTGAAATCCTCCAGCAACTAGCAAATTATCTTTCACTGCAAGAGTACTGACTTGAGTCTGGGTAAAACCTTCCAACAAACTTCCAGGATGTTTCTGTTTCGATATAAAAAGAAAAATCAGTGATCAAGAAAATAACTCAAGACAAAAATGATTATTGCACAAATTATAGAAATTAAGGATTGTTTGTCAACCCAAATCATTCCTAGAACACCAACCTCAGACGGTGCAACATGCCCTGAAACATTGAGCACTTCACGCTTGCCACATGTAAGTGAAGACCAATGAATGACAGAAAAATGAGACATCAGGTAGACATCATGTTTAGATGTAGCCCAAACCAAGTTTCTTAACTGCATCACCACAAAAATAGAGGTATGCCAGTGAGGCACAACGTATATCCCATCATTTTAAAGATTCTACCAGAAAATGAGAACTTTTAGCTACCTGAAAGTGAAGTATGGTTGACTTCACAGATCTTGAATTTTGTCTGAACTCGTAATAAGATGCACCTTTCTCTGTAGCTTTGCAATCCTGTTTAAAACAAAAAAGAAACAAAGGATCAAGCATTAAACATCCAGATAACAATCACTGATGTAAAATGAAAAGAAGTAACCAATAATAACTTGTACCTTCCCTGACCCATCTCCAGAGTTAGGAATATTCTCATAATTCTTGTACTGTTCTAGCCTAGTCTGTCTATATTTTTCCCTAGTGATACTAAGTCTATCCCAAGGAATTCCCTGGATGTCTCTTCCTTTCCTTGCTTGAGAAGCGGAAGTATCGGGTATTTTATTATTCTGCAAAAAATTCAAATTACATTCAACAGCTATGGATCCCCAATGGTCAAATAAAACTCAATGGAAGACACAGGTAGCACATAAAGCTAACTAAAAAATGCAATATCAGTTCAAGTTTGTCAATATGAATTGTGTAAAACAACATATCACAAACCGAGTAGCCATATTCATCGACATCAGAGTCAGAGCCAGCCACATCTCTGCCATGAAACTCTTCATCCATGCCATCATCTACACCATCCATTTCGTATTCATCTGGAGGGTATTCGGCATCATATCGGTGATTTGCCATGTTCCACTCAGCAATTCCACACCTACACCAATATAACTCAATAACTGATAATAAGATCGGAATAATACTTGAACCAAGCTAATAAAATATGAGACAGAGAGCAACAAACTTCAGGTTTTACAAGCTTAAGATGTTTATGGAGAAATTTACACAAGTGACTCTGAACATGAAATAACACATGAAAGTCATAAATAAACAAAACAAATATATGATGCTTATATCAACTGACAGAGCAATTTCCATCAGACAAATCCTTAATATTGGATTTGGTTTTCTTGAATTCCACAGGGGCATTAACAGAAAAAAGTTTATATAAAAAAGAGAACAAATGAACAAAAAATAGGAAAACCTAGGTAAGTTTTGCCATATGTTCAACGCATGCTTATGAATATTATTAATCCAACTAGTTTGTTTTAGTTGGATTTGGGTAGATTAAAGCAGAACCACACCAAATAAAAAAAAAATCCTGTGTAGCTGAGAACGCAACAAGGTCCCCAGCTTTGTTCCTCCCAAACAAAAGATAGTTTTTTCCTTTCTCATTTTCCCCTTGGGTAAGGGATTATCGTTTCTACTCGAACAAAATTCCAACTTATTTCTTGCTGATAGCTCAAAATACATGCAAAAACAAAAAGATTTCACCTTTAATTGCCAAAACCCTAATCATATTGTACAAGTTAAATTCACAGATCCCCAAAAAAAGGAAAAAACTTTCTTTAAAACAATCAACCACAAATGCAAACCCTAAAACCAGCAACTTAATTCCAGTTTTGCACCGATTAAAAGCACAGACAAAACCCAGAATTACGAACACAAAAAAAATAAAAGAATGCTAAAAAGGAACCTACTTTTACAATCAGGGGCTTGTTCACTGATCTGGGTATCAACAGGTGAATTGCATGAACATTTATTTTTAATTGAAACAAGCAAACCAGCCGGTGGTTGAAAAAGATGATGATGGCCACCACTCAGAACCTGTGAAGAACAGGACGCGAGAACTCGAGAAATAATGGAGGAGTCATCAATTTATACCCAAACCCAATGTGAAAGTGGCTCATTCTACGCAAAGATTTGTTAAGCTATAGTGTCCATTTGAGATTTGCCTTAAGATGCCTTTAGTCGCAATCTATGTGATTGTAATTGTATTATTATATTATATTTATAAATAAAAGTTAGTTTTATATTTAGTTATGTATTTATTTAAATAATTGGAAATGATATGTGATTTATTTATTAATTATTAATTAAAATTTAAGAAAATTTATTTATATATAAATTTTATATATTATATTTATATAAAATTTTAGTTATGTATTTATTTAAATAATTGGAAATGA